GTGTTAAACTCATTACAGGTGCAGATCATAATGGTTGAGTTGCAAATCATCAGTGATGTTGCTTCTTCCTCTAACTCTTCTTCTATGGTGTCTTCAAAAAAATATGAAGTTTTTCTAAGCTTTCGTGGTGAGGACACCCGCATGAACTTCACAAGCCATCTTCATGAAGCTTTGAAGAAAAAGGAAGTTGAAACCTTTATAGACTATGAGCTTAGAAAGGGAGATGAAATCTCACCAGCACTCATCCAAGCCATAGGAAATTCTCTTGTATCTATTGTCATCCTCTCACCAAACTATGCTTCCTCAAAATGGTGCTTGGAAGAACTCAGCAAGATTTTAGAATGTAGGAAAAAGCAAGGACAAATGGTGATACCTGTATTTTACAATATAGATCCATCCCATGTGAGGAAGCAAACTGGAAGCTATGAGCAAGCCTTTGCAAAACATAAGGAAGAATCCAATTACAACAAATGGAAAGCTTCTCTCAATGAAATAGCCAATTTAGCTGGGTGGGACTCTCAAAATAGGTAAATAAAATGATTCAATTTTTTGAAAGAAAAAAAAAAAGAAAGAAAATTTGTTGATTTAAATTGAGTTAACAAAATTTGGTTGAAAATACAACAAAGTTTAATGATGGTAATTAAAATTATGACACAAATTATATGATATCAAAATAAAAATTGAAGCGAACAAGAAAAGATATAGAGCTATAATCTAGAAATATTTCTAAGAACTTCTCTACTAAAAGTAAAGAATATTTTTCAACAAATAAGTTCTTAAAACATTTATAGATTTGTATTCAAACATGCTTATAGTTGTTTCCTTCTATTGTGTATGATTGTGTTATGCAATTGTTGCTCATCAAAGAATTTCTTTGTCCATTACTGTGTTTAATTGTGTAGAGTTAAAAAATAATTCTTTTTTTTTAAGTTGAATAAATTATAGAAATGAGATAATACATTAACAAGAATTTCCTTTACATGGTTTGAAAAGATTCTCCTTAATTGGTCTCACCAGGTTTTCACTGTGAACAATAATATTTCCATAGTATATTTTTATACATAGTGAACATGTAAGCAATGATAATTTATTGTAATTTATTCATCTACTATGAAGTTCACTATTGAAAAATATTTCAAATATTTTCTATTCAATAACCTAAAAATAAATTTAAATATCGATATCTTCATTAACCCGAGTCTTTTATAACTTTTTTTTATTCTACCTATATATTGTTTGTGTATTTGGAAACTTTTAATTCCGTTACATGCATGAGAGCATGCCTATGTAGAATAATAACTTCCATGGTAGTTTAAATAAGTTCATTGTGTAGAAAAAACATAGATATTTTTTATCTTCTCTAAGTCATTGAATTTTTATTCCTCAATTATATCATTTTCTCTATTATTCTAACATATTGATCTATGATTATGTATAATTATTTTTTTTCTATTGTATTTGTTATGCTCATAACACAACATTTATTTCATTGTGTTTCTTCTTTCCTATGCTAGGACTGAATCAGAACTCCTTAAGGAAATTGTTGGAGACGTTTTGCAAAAATTGACTCCTACTTACCGAAACCAACTTAAAGGTCTGGTAGGAATTGAGGACAATTATGAAGAAATTGAATCATTACTGAAAATTGAGTCAACTGAAGTTATAACCATTGGAATATGGGGTATGGGTGGCATAGGAAAGACCACCCTAGCTACTACTTTGTATGCAAGATTATCTCCTTGTTTTGAAGGTTTTTGTTTCCTGAAAAATGTAAGGGAAAATTCAAGCAGCCATAATGGACTTGAAGCTTTACATAACAAACTTTTCGCCAAGTTGTTGGAGATCGAAAATCATTGTTTTGATATGAATTTTGTGAGGCGTAAGCTTAAACATAAAAAGGTTTTCATTGTGTTGGATGATGTGGACACCTTACAACAATTAGAATATCTAGTTGAAGATTATGATTTGTTGGGGCCAGGAAGCAGAGTCATTGTTACAACTAGAAATAAACAAATTTTTAGTCTAGTTGATGAAGTATATGAGGTCAAGGAATTGAGCTATGATCAATCTCTTCAACTTTTTTGTTTGACTGTTTTTGGAGAAAAACAACCTAAACATGGATATGAAGATCTTTCAAGAAGTGTAGTTTCCTATTGCAAAGGCGTTCCTTTGGCTTTAAAAGTTATAGGTGCAAGTCTTCGTCGAAGAAGTGAAGAGGTTTGGGAAAGTGAATTGAGAAAGCTCCAAAAGATCCCAAATATGCAAATTCATGACATTTTAAAATTGAGTTATGATGGCTTAGATGTTCTATCGTGTTCCTTGTTATATGTGATGCATGAATATGCGATCAATTTTGAAAATGAATATGTTCTGATATGAATTAGAGTGCTCTATGGGTTCCTGAGAGAACCCTATGATAAACAGGAAAAATATGAATGTTTTCTATTTTACTTTCTGATTGTTCTGTTGCATTCCTTGTGTGATATTGAGTGTATATATATGTTTAATTTGAAAAATAGACAAGTTTTGATGATGGCTTCATGTTTTGGATAATTTCTTGGTATGTTTTATGTACTATTTTGATGTATATGACTACGAGAAGTTCCTTGTGTGAGACTATGTAAATATGAAGTGGGATTGTGAAAGGTGAACGTTTAATCTGTAATATGATGAAATAATGTGACATGAGATATGATGAGACGTGATAAGTGAAATGTTGAGTCAATGAAATAGTGAAAGTGTGACATGCATCATGTGTATATATGACTTATCATAGGTGTGCCAATTAGGTCGCATACTAGTGTAACCTATAAAACAATTCCGGTCTTCCTATTTTTAATTAGGAAATTCTGGTTTCCCAATTTTGATCCAACCATCAAAATATCTAACAACTCAAATTCGCCACAGATTAAATCATAAAATTCCCAAATATGCAAATTCATGACATTTTAAAATTGAGTTATGATGGCTTAGATCGTTCTCAAAAAAACATCTTTTTAGACATTGCCTGCTTACTGAAAGGAGAAAACAAGAATTTTGTAACAAGTCTACTAGAAGCTTGTGGTTTCTTTGCAGTTTCTGGAATCGAAGTCCTTTTGGACAAAGCTCTTATAACAATTTCAAATTACAATTTGATAGAAATGCATGACTTGATACAACAAATGGGTCAAGAAATTGTTCATCAAGAATCCATCAAAGATCCTGGAAGACGAAGTCGATTATGGAAACATGATGAAGTGTATGAAGTATTGAAATATAACAAGGAAAGTGGAAAATTTAATGATTTATAGAGATATCTCAGATAAAAACAAAGTCTGTCCATCTGTAATGTTGACCAAACCAAAAGAGAATCAAAGCATTAATGTCAAATGCTCAGACGAAAATCATAGATTGAGACGCATAAGACTAACAGACGCAGACGAAGACAACCATGAAAGCATTTAAAGAATCATGTCTCCAAGGACAACTCAAGCATCGTCTACAATCATATAAATGCTCTCAACATGATAGCGTGATGAAAGAAGAAGAAGAAAAGCACGCAAAAGCAAAAGCATGCATGTGTCAGAAAAAGTACATTACTTTTTTAGATATATAGCCACCAACACAACCAAATTCATCACACCCAAGCAACCCAACCTGTATATGCTACACCTCTTAAGCCTAGCCCAATTCGTACACCTGCCATCTCACAGTGACCCTTGATTGCAACAAATACACAAGAATACGACCAAGAAAAGAAGAGAGAAAAACATCTCACTTTGATTCACGGTGTAGAACATAATCGAGTAGTCAAACACACAACGACCAAAAAAGGACAAAAAAATTCCTAGGTCTCAGCTAAAGATAGGCACAGTAGCTAACAAATGAAGAAGACTTCACGCAATGCCTACAAACAAGAAGCAACATTTAATGCAAGATCTTGAGCATTAAATAAAAAGATCGAACTAGTCATGAACGATTATATATATCTGCTTCAACGGACACTTGCAATGGGTAAATTCTGCAGGACAATATATATATCACTACTTCAAACCTTGAAAGGTTGGCTTTTGTGCAAACAAGAAAAAGGTGATATCAAGCCCATGAAGCAACAAAACCAGAGATAGAGCGTATAGAGTCAAATGTACCATAGTGTATTCATCTCTGTAGACAAAGGAGTTCCAAGTGCATCTTAGGAACATGAACCTTAGTGAGTGTATTCAACTTATGTACTCTGTGAGAGTAAACTAAACACTCAATCGTTGTAAAAACTAAGGTTGCATACCTTAGTGAGTGTACAAACTTATGTATCCTCTCTATGAGAGTAACCCAAACACTCAAACAAAACCTATTTAGTTATCATATGTAAAGCCTGAAGAGGCTAAGGAAAGAATACTTGTAAAACCTAGAGAGGCTTGTCAAAGAATACTCACTACGATCCAAAAGTGACTGATTAAAGAATACTAGCGCTAATGGTGAAGTTAGCAGGCCAGGAGTTGGTCGACAATACTCATTGAGAGCCAGAAGTGGCTGATTAAAGAATACTAGCGCTAATGGTGAAGTTAGCGGGCCAAGAGTTGGTCGACAATACTCATTGAGAGCCAAAAGTGGCTGATTAAAGAATATTAGCGCTAATGGTGAAGTTAGTGGGCCAGGAGTTGGTCGACAATACTCATTGAGAGCCAAAAGTGACTGATCAAAGAATACTAGCGTCAGCGAGTGAAGTTGATGAGCCAGGAGTGGTCATGACCTGGGTGGTCTAGAATACTCACTACTAGCCTGAAGAGGCTGATTAAAGGATACTAGAGCCAATGAGTGAAGTTGGCCGACCAGGAATGGTCGTGACCTAGGTGATCTATAATACTCACTACGAGCCTGAAGAAGTTGAACAAATAATACTTGTACTTCATTGAATATCTAGTGGAACCCTTCATTTGAAGGAGATTAGACGTAACTCAGTTTGAGTGAACCGTGAGGCGTAAGCTTAAACATAAAAAGGTTTTAATTGTGTTGGATGATGTGGACACCTTACAACAATTAGAATATCTAGTTGAAGATTATGATTTGTTGGGGCCATGAAGCAGAGTCATTGTTACAACTAGAAATAAACAAATTTTTAGTCTAGTTGATGAAGTATATGAGGTCAAGGAATTGAGCTATGATCAATCTCTTCAACTTTTTTGTTTGACTGTTTTTGGAGAAAAACAACCTAAACATGGATATGAAGATCTTTCAAGAAGTGTAGTTTCCTATTGCAAAGGCGTTCCTTTGGCTTTAAAAGTTATAGGTGCAAGTCTTCGTCGAAGAAGTGAAGAGGTTTGGGAAAGTGAATTGAGAAAGCTCCAAAAGATCCCAAATATGCAAATTCATAACATTTTAAAATTGAGTTATGATGGCTTAGATCGTTCTCAAAAAAACATCTTTTTAGACATTGCCTGCTTACTGAAAGGAGAAAACAAGAATTTTGTAACAAGTCTACTAGAAGCTTGTGGTTTCTTTGCAGTTTCTGGAATCGAAGTCCTTTTGGACAAAGCTCTTATAACAATTTCAAATTACAATTTGATAGAAATGCATGACTTGATACAACAAATGGGTCAAGAAATTGTTCATCAAGAATCCATCAAAGATCCTGGAAGACGAAGTCGATTATGGAAACATGATGAAGTGTATGAAGTATTGAAATATAACAAGGAAAGTGGAAAATTTAATGATTTATTTATGTACGATAACTAGTATGATAGCCCAACCAATTATTATTTTTAATTTTGTTTAACAGGGAACTGATGATGTTGAAGGGATAATTTTTAATTTGGATACATTAACTGAGGATTTGTGTTTGAGCTCTGATTTCCTTGCAAAGATGCCCAGTTGTTATTGGTGCAATCCTGCATTGATTTTTTTATATTATATTTTTTTTTTGGACTTTGCAGTTTAAGGTTGAGAACCAAATTGATTTTTTTTTTATATTATATTCATTTGGATGTAATAATGTAATAATACAATTTATGGAAGAGAGCCTAGTCATTGTCCCTAAATGCATGTGAAGGCTCAAGCAAAAATGTTAAGACAAAATAATAAGAGTAAAGTTCGGAACAACACCACTGGCAGTAGGAATCCAGAGACAAAATAATAAGACAAAATGTTAAGACAACACCACTAAAATCCAGAGACAAGACAAGACAAAGGAATCAAGGAACAGGAACAAGAACAACCTCGATCCGACCATTGGCAGCAGCTACATGCAGAGGAGAGAGCCCGTGATGACCAGTGGCGTGTTCCAAGAGAGTTAGGAACTGAAATGTAACTGAAAATGTAACTGTAATGTAAAACATAAAATTAATTAACATCTTAGAAGGCAGAAATGGACATTGAGATGCATAAAATAAGAAAGGGGGAAGTCGTAATTTAGTGAATGGGTATCTTGACTCCTAAAAACTAAAAGATATTTGTGAAACATTGTAATGCTATTCGATTTTGCATGAGAGTTCCTTGATTTTGACCCACAAAAATGCAAATATTACTTCACACTGCACACGACTCCACCTGGAACATCAAACTTACCGAGAACAAGTGCCGCCAAGATGCAGAGTGCTTCAAGAAGGAGGTGCTTCAAGGAGG